GACAATGTGGAGGCACTGGCTCGAGGGGGCGAAACACCCTTTCCTCGTCTGGATGGACCACCGTAACCTGGAGTACATCCGGGCAGCGAGGAGGCTGAACCCTCGCCAGACCAGGTGGGCCCTATTCTTCACCCAGTTTGATTTTACACTATCTTACATCCCAGGTACGAAGAACGTGAAGGCAGATGCACTGTCACGGCTGTACGACACAGAGGAGAGGCCCATATACAACACCCCTGTACTCCCGGCCTCCTGCATTGTGGCGCCGGTAGTGTGGGTGATGGACGTGGACATAGAGCGGGCTTTACGCACAGAGCCATCTCCACCTCAGTGCCCAGCTGGGCTGCAGTATGTGCCGTCTCTTGTCTGTGACCGTTTGATCTATTGGGCACACAAGTCCCCCTCCTCTGGTCACCCAGGTATCGGCCGTACAGTGCGCTGCCTGACCGGAAAGTACTGGTGGCCTACCTTGGCTAAGGACATGAGGGTGTGTGTCTCCTCCTGCTCGGTGTGCTCCCAGAGTAAGGAACCTAGGCACCTCCCAGCGGGTAAGTTACAACCCTTACCAGTTCCACAAGGCCATGGTCCCACCTGTGTATTGACTTTCTCACTGATCTTCCCCTCTCTCAGGGTAACACCACCATCCTGGTCGTTGTGGACCGCTTTTCAAAAGCCTGCCACCTCCTTCCTCTGCCCGGTCTCCCCACGGCCCTGCAGACTGCGTAGCCCTGTTTACTCACATCTTCCGGCACTATGGGGTGCCAGAGGACATAATGTCTGACCAGGGTCCCCAGTTTACATCCAGGGTCTGGAATGCGTTCATGGAACATCTGGGGGTCTCGGTCAGCCTGACCTCTGGGTTTCACCCCGAGAGTAATGGGCAGGTGGAACGGGTGAATCAGGATGTGGGTAGGTTCCTGCGGTCCTACTGCCAGGACCGGCCGGGGGAGTGGTCGGTGTTCTTGCCATGGACAGAATATGCCCAGAACTCTCTCCGCCACTCCTCCACTAACCTATCACCATTTCAATGTGTTTTAGGTTTTCAGCCGGTTTTGGCACCGTGGCATCAGAGCCAGATCCTGCGGTGGATGACTGGTTTCGGCGCGCGGAGGAGACGTGGAACGCTGCTCACGTCCACCTCCAGCGCGCCGTGCATCGCCAGAAGGCCAACGCTGACCGCAACCACAGTGAGGCCCCGGTTTTGGTACCGGGTGATCGGGTCTGGCTCTTGACCCGGAATCTGCCACTCCGCCTGCCCTGCCGGAAGCTGAGCCCGTGGTTTGTGGGGCCGTTCAAAGTCCTGAGGAGGATAAACGAGGTTACTTATAGGTTATTACTCCCTCCAGATTACCGTATTAACCCCTCGTTTCATGTGTCTCTCCTCAGGCCGGTGGTGGCTGGTCCGCTCCAGGAGTCTGAGGTGCGGGAGGTTCCTCCGCCCCCTCTGGACATCGAGGGGGCCCAGGCGTACTCCATCCGTTCCATCCTGGATTCGAGGCATCAGGTGGGGGGCCTTCAGTACCTCGTGGAGTGGGAGGGGTACAGTCTGGAGGAGTGGTGCCGGGTTCCGGTGAGGGATATCCTCGATCCCTCCCTATTGCGGGATTTCCACCGGCGCCATCTGGCTCGCCCGGCTCCGCGTCCTCCTGGCCATCCCCGAGGCCGGTGTCTGCGCGCTGCTGGAGCTGCGCGTCAAGGGGCGGGGATACTGTCACGAATTCTTCCGAAGCTGCCTCCTCTCCTCGTCGTCACTGGCCTTCTAGCCACTGCCTCTCCTCATCTCATCATTCCATTTGTTTTGTCTTGTTTATTACACACACCTGGTTCATATCCCCTCATCAGTACCTGTACAGTGTTCCCTCTGTCCCCTTGTCTTTGTGTGTGATTGTTTATTGTGGAGGGTTGAGAAGCTCCGTGTATTTTGTATCGCCGGGATATTCCCCGTGTGCCTTGTTATTTCCAGTGCGCCTGTTTTGCGCACTGGAGTGTTTTAATGCATTTCTGCGTCAAATAAATCCTGTTATTCTGTGATTTACCCTCCTGCGCCTGACTCTTTCAAAAATCACTCATCACACCTGCGCTGTAATTGACATTCACTCTATTAAAAGTGCTTTAAATTACAGTACCTGGGTAGATGCTTCCTTTCAGTGATTTCCACACTCAGTACTGCAGGGGCCCTGAGAACTGTCTCTCACACAGACTGGGAGCCGTGAGAGTAGGCTTCTCAAACTTCGACGACGGCCTGCCAAAAACAACACAAGCTTCAGACAATACATATCAGAAACAGGAAAACCCCATTATGGAATGACATGGTGAAATCTAAAATGGCCCACGACCCACCACGCTCTTACCTCTGGAGCAGGGTCTTGATATTCTGGGACGAGACAGGAAAAACAGAGGGGAGAGGTTGCTGATTAATTTTGGCAGTAAAAAAAAAAGGGGAAGCAGTTTTCCACATGACGTCAGTGTCTGAGCTCACGCTATCCCGCCCTCAGGGATCTCCCCGTAGTTGGGGGAAAGTCCATGGGTCTGAGCCTGCACCCTGTAATCTCCTTATCCTCACCATCGACCAGGAGTAAAGTCATGGGCCCACATTCTAGCCCTCCCCTGTCTCTCACCCCCTAGCAGTACAAAGGGGACCTGCTCCCTCAGCTTGTCCTCAATCTCGTTCAGGGCCCTCTGCAGACGGCAGACCTCCACACAGAGCAGGGCCTTGTGTTCGTCCAGCCTTACCAGCTCCCTGTGCTCCTCTGTCTTAGGTTTCACCTGCAGCAGTTTGTCCTCCTGGTACAGGAACTGGTGCAGGTCGCTGAACTGGACCTTGACTATCTGCTTCAGGTCCACCGTGTGCTCCTGCGGTGATAGGAAGTGTGTGTGTGTGTGTGTGTGTGGGAGGGAGGGGGGGGGGCAGTCATTAGAAATTATAGTTAGTTTGAGAGGCTCCAGGTTTATGAGACACTCAAGGTTTAAGTTCAATGTATACATTGTTACCAGGTGTAGATACTGGAGATTCTCACCTCGTCTTCAGTCTCTCTCTCACACTGCAGGGCCGTGTTCAGCTCCCATCTCAGAGTCCATGGAACTGTTGAGAGACGCCTGCATGGCCAGAACAAAGCAGCAGCATTATTCTAAGTCAGCATCAGCCTTCTGTTCTTCACACCAGGCTTTACATTAAATAAAGTAATCTGCTCTTGGAGTGAGGCTGGCAAAATATTGTTATGGGAAACAAGCCGGATGCAACTCCAAACCAGACAATGCATGGAGTATAATGAGCAGTTTGTCAGATAGAAATAAAGTGACAGTGAAGTGGTGTGACAAATCATTGACATTTTAGTTGTTGATGCCAAATCACTTCAAGTTTTTCTGTGCTACATTTGATCAAATATTTTTTTTTGCTTAGATTCCTCCCACGTATAATTCTACTGCTCAGTCCATAGCCCATCAATGTTTTTTCATGTCCGCAACTGTGACCATACTGTGAGTCAAAACAGAAGTGCCCTACATTTATCATTGCACAGTTGTTAATATGTATTATTATTTTTATTAAACTCTTTAATCTAATCTCTATTTTCTCTTTAGCTGTCTGGAAAAATACCAACATTTTTGTAAGAGTTTTGCATGACAGTAAACAATGGTATTAAATTATTATATTCAAACATCCATATACTGTAACAAAACTGATGAAAGATATAATCAACTGGCAGAAATAGTATAAAACATATATAAGTGAACATTGATGGCTGTTCTTCTCTACAATCTCCTAAATGCGGGAGCCTACTGTGTTTTAAAGAGTACCTTGAAGTAAATTCTCTCACATCTGGATGATAGTTTCCAACAAAATACCTGACTATTGCTGAAAACAAAATTATCCAGTACAGTGCAAACAATTCTTACCCCAACTAGCTCATATCATGCCAAATTAGTTGTGTATGTATTTATTTTGTGCAGCACGACTGCTTTGTAGATGGTCTGGAACGAGCCCTAAATTGAATTTCTTCTCAGCAGGAGCACACAATAGTATGTGATTGCAGCCTGCAAGTGAGTGCGTTCCTGCATGTGGGCATTCCTGCATCCCATTGGTTCCTGCAGGAATGCCCCCCCTCGAGCATCCCATTAGTTCCTGCATGATCACCCTTCCTCGAGCATGCCATCTTCATGCTTGTGTGACACTTTTGATATTCTGGATTTCCCCTGATTGTGTATGCAAGTAAAATGTGGGTCAAAAGGGAAATAGAAGTATTATCAGAGTTTTTTGGTGGTGAAGGACACTGTCTACCAGTGTCCTAGCTAGCTAGCTACCAGTGTCGCCCCCCCCCCCCCCCCCCCCCCCTGCCTCATGTGTACCGGAGTCCTAGTTAGCTAGTACACTGGTAGACAGTGTCCTTCACCACCAAAAAACTCTGATAATACTTCTATTTCCCTTTTGACCCACATTTTACTTGCATACACAATCAGGGGAAATCCAGAATATCAAAAGTGTCACACAAGCATGAAGATGGCATGCTCGAGGAAGGGTGATCATGCAGGAACTAGTCCTAGTTAACACCTGCTCTCAAACATCATTAACAGAACTGCGGGAAAGCGCTGCCCAACAGGTGGGGGTGAAGGACAATGTCTACCGGTGTCCTAGCTAGCTAGTTAGCTAGCACACAGTGTCCTTTGCTCCCACCTGCCGAACACCTAGCCTTGCCGTCGTTAACAGAATTGCAGGAAAGCAGTGGACTCCTCTTCTTCTTCTTCTTCTTCTTCTATGGGGTTTATTGTTGGTTGGCATCCAACCTTATGGTGCATTACCGCCACCTACTGTATTGGAGCACTTAAAAATGGACCAATAGCAGATGCAGGAATGCCCACATGCAGGAACACCCTGAATTGCGGGCCGCAATTTCACCCTTCTCGGCACACGAGAAAAGGGTAGTGGGAGGGGCCCTTGCTAGCAATCAGCTGATCCCAAATACTACTTGCCAGATCAGCAAAGAAAACACATAAGCAAAAGCAAAATGTTTGAGGCACGATTGACTCAAGATCTAATCCTAAATAAAGTTTTGGACTCACTGAAAGACCTTATCACTGAAGCTTGCTGGAATGTGAGCTCCTCGGTATCTCACTCCAGAGTATGGACTCATCACGATTCCCTTGTACACCTCGAACTGCGTAGCAATGGATTGGGCTGGTAACGCTGAGATTGCACTGCCGCTATGGGAGTCAACTTATCCAGGTGGGTGAATAAAGTTTGCATTCATTTTCATGAGTCAACATTGATAACTATGTTGAGTTGACCTAACACTAACACTTGCTCGCTGGCTTACTTGCAGCATATCTAAGATTTTGAGGTGTAAAGGGAATGAGAACATCATCACCCTACATGCAGATGATACTGCGGAGACTCTTGTCCTGGTTTTTGAGACTGAAAGTAAGTAGGCCACATATACACACACACACACACACATTTCTTCAAACACATGCTGACCAGCACCATGTAGCAAGGTCTAATATTTTCTGAGGCATGACCTAATATTGTCTGTCTCTGTGTTAGATCGGGAGAAAGTATCTGACAATGAGAGATGAAGTTGATGGACTTGGATGTGGAACAGTTCCGTATTCCAGTGTGCACTCTTTATTCTTTACTCCCAATCAGGTCAGTCCAATTTAGATGTGACCTTTTAAATGTCCATTGATGTACAGTGGGGGAGCTGGTGATTTGGTAGCTTGCATGATATCCTATTTTCTCTTTAGGAGCAAGAATACAGTGAGTTCTCCCAGATTCTTAGAGACCTGTCCCAGATTGGGGATGCTGTCATAATCACTTGTGCAAAAGGCGGGGTCCAGTTCTCAGCCTGTGGTTGGGCACTGGCATCATCAAGCTGTCCCAGACCAACAGCGTGGGCAATGAGGATGAAGCGGTGAGAGAGGCCTGGAGGACTGACTGCCTCCTCACACATACACACACACAAACACACTCTCTCTCTCTCACACACACTCACACACATATAAACATTTTCCCTGACAGTCAAAGCAACAGACACAGAAGGTAATTTGTAGCCAGGCAACTGACCACTAGGCCGACCACTTCAACAGCTGTTACTGTAGCTGTTTGGATCGTTGTTTTGAGCCAAGTGCACATATGAAATGTTCAGTCATATTTCCACTTAAAGTGATATTAATGGAGAACTTCACATAATAAAACAGTTTTGCAGCAAAATGCCTATTTCCCCTAATTTTGCAACACCCTCTGGGTTATTTGAGGCTGATTAATCTGAAGAAAGCAAGAGCCATGATTCCAAAGTGACACATTTTGTATTGTGTCTCCTACAGGTGAACATTGAGATCAATGAACCAGTGTAGCTCATCTTTGTCCACGACTAGCTGAACTTCTTCTCCAGAGCTACTCCTCTCTCAAGACAGTCACCCATGTCAGCTGACGTCCTTCTTCATAGACTACAGAGGGAAGATGTCACACCACTTACATTTTCAATTTTAAATGCAACTCTCAAAGCCAACCAAGGCCATACTTGACTCACGTTACCTATTATTTTATTGTAGCACTTGACATTCCAGAACGGAATGAAGTGGCAATAACATGGTTTCCATAACCACTGTTGGCCTTGAAGACTCAGATCTACTGTCACGCTCGTTGACTGAAGACTCGTGGAACCAAGGCGCAGCGTGATAAGCGTACATCTTTATTTAGTACACAACAACACGAACAAAACAACAAACAAACGATACGTGAAGTCCTGAGGTTATAACACAACAAACCTTTACGGAACAAGATCCCACAAACTAACTGGTGCCAACAGGCTGCCTAAGTATGGTCCCCAATCAGAGACAACGAGCTACAGCTGCCTCTGATTGGGAACCACCCTGGCCAACATAGAACTAAACGATCTAGAACAAAAAAACATAGAAAACTAAAGATAGAAAAATCCACACCCTGGCTCAACATTTAAGAGTCCCCAGAGCCAGTGCGTGACAGAACCCCCCCCCCCCCCCCCCCCCAAAGGCGCGGACTGTGACCGCGCCACACAAACACAAGAGGGTAGGGGCCGGGTGGGCATTCCGCCTCGGAGGCGGATCCAGCTCCGGGCGTGACCACCACCTTTTCTCCACCTCCCCGTTGCGCCCCTGGTCTGGTCCCGCTGACTGGAGCTGGACCCGACGACGGTGGACCAAACCTTACCGGCTCCGGACTGGAGCCGCTGGCCGGAGCTGGACTGGACACCGGTGGAGCGGATTACTCTGGCTCCGGAGTGGATCCGCTGACTGGAGTTGGACCGGACCCCGGTGGAGCGGATTGCTCTGACTCCGGAGTGGAGCAGCTGACCGGTGCCGGACCAGGCACCGGTGGAACAGGCACGGGCCGTGCCGGACTGGACACACGCACCACTGGCTTGGCGCAGGGAGCAGGAACGGGCCGGACCGGGCTGACGACGCGCACCACTGGCTTGGTGCGGGGAGCAGGAACGGGCCGGACCGGGCTGACGACGCGCACCACTGGCTTGGTGCGGGGAGCAGGAACGGGCCGGACCGGGCTGACGACGCGCACCACTGGCTTGGTGCGGGGAGCAGGCACGGGCCGTGCCGGGCTGACGACGCGCACCACTGGCTTGGTGCGAGGGACAGGAACAGGCCGGACCGGGCTGGTGACGCGCACCTCTGGCTTGGTGCGAGGAGCAGGAACAGGCTGGGCTGGACTGGGAACATGCACCACTGGCTTGGTGCGGGGAGAAGGAACAGGCCGGGCTGGACTGGGAACACGCAACACTGGCTTGCTGCGGGGAGCCGGAACGGGCCGGACCGGACTGTGGAGGCGGACTGGAGGTCTGGAGCGGAGAGCTGACACAACCCGTCCTGGCTGAATGCCTATTTCCACACAATATGTGTGAGGCATCAGCACAGGACGTACAGGGCTGTGCACTCGTACTGGCGCTACAGCACGTGGCACTGGCGCAGGATATACGGGACCGAGGAGGCGTACTGGAGGCCACGAGCGTTGAGCCGGCACACCCCATCCTGGCTGCATGCCCATCTTAGCACGACACGTGCGTGGTGCTAGCACCGGACGTACAGGACTGTGCCGGAACACTCGCGGCACAGTACGTGGCTCCGCATAACACGGAGCCTGCCCAGTCTCACGCTTCCTAGCCTGAGTACGGGGAGTTGGCTCTGCTCTAACTCTAGGCTCCGCCAACCACCCTTTTAGCCCCCCAAATTATTTTTATTGGGGCTGTCTCTCGGGCTTCCTCCTCGGCCGGTACCCTCTGTGTTGCCGCTGCTCCTCTCTGTAGCGCGCCTCCACAGTCTCCTCCCAAGGACGGCGATCCATTCTGGCCTGAATCTCTTCCCAAGTCCAGGATCCCTTCCCGTCCAGGATCTTCTCCCAAGTCCAGGCTGTCTGTTCCTGGACACGCTGCTTGGTCCTCTTGTGGTGGGATCTTCTGTCACGCTCGTTGACTGAAGACTCGTGGAACCAAGGCACAGCGTGATAAGCGTACATCTTTATTTAGTACACAACAACACGAACAAAACAACAAACAAACGATACGTGAAGTCCTGAGGTTATAACACAACAAACCTTTACGGAACAAGATCCCACAAACTAACTGGTGCCAACAGGCTGCCTAAGTATGGTCCTCAATCAGAGACAACGAGCTACAGCTGCCTCTGATTGGGAACCACCCTGGCCAACATAGAACTAAACGATCTAGAACAAAAAACATAGAAAACTAAACATAGAAAAATCCACACCCTGGCTCAACATTTAAGAGTCCCCAGAGCCAGGGCGTGACATCTACATAGAGGTTCTGTTCAAAATGTGTAAAACCATCTCAACCTGGTTGCTCTCTCCCTCCGGTGGTGGAGTATAGGATTGCAGACACGGGCTACATCAAGTATTAACTGGCACCTGAGATTGTCGAAGGGTGCATCCTAATCCTCAACCTGACTAAGCAAGTCTGAGAACACTTGGACTGAACCCTGAAGAAGACTGTCTGGTTACCTTTAAAGAGGTATGAATGTTCCGCAGTTCCCAATATGTTACAGATGTCAGTTAAATCCTGTAGGAATGATGAATACTGTATTATGGTTAAGGCAATATAACTAGTGATATGTTTTGTGATACTAATGTGTTACTATGCAAGAAACATTTAAGATGTTTGGTGGATACAGTATGTTTGCCACACCTTGTTGATTCTCATCAAACAGCTCATTTATAGGCTTATCAATTTTGCAAGTACATAGTATTAGGCTGTGTTTTATTGAAATACTCACATACCTGTACACATCACAAGGGAGTTTGTATTTAGAGCAAGCTTTTTGCTTGTTCTCTTGAGATTGTCAGATCATTTTATTGTCTAACATAGTATGTCACAAATATTGCATGATGTGAACTTCTGACATGTCTGGGACAGAGGAGGATGGTGGGAGGACCTATAGGAGGACGTGCTAATTGTAATTGCTGGAATGGAATCAATGGAACGGAGTCAAACACATTGTTTCTATGTGTTTGATTTGTTTGGTACCATTCCATTAATTCCATTCCAGCCATTACAATGAACTTGTCCTCTTATAGCTTTTCCCTCTAGCCTCCTCTGGTCTGGGACATGCAGTAGCATTCCTCCCACTGAGTTAAAATATGTGTACAGAACATGTGCCTCTGTTATGTACAGTGGCGTCCATAATTATTGACACCTGTCGTGGAAATTCTAACCAATAAGGAGAGACTTTGTTAATTCTTCAAACAATCAATACTTTATTATACGAGTTGCAATAAGGAAGCTGGTCGACCCCACACTCTTGAGCGTGAGACCGAGGCTTAAAATCATACAGAGAATACAGGGCCTTATATAGCAGACCTAGAAATGCTTAGTCATGGCTGGTTCCACTCCTCCCCGGAAGATCAGGGCATCATAAGCTATCTTGTTTTCTTCTTGTGGCCAGGTGTTTTGGTTGTGTGAGGTTATAGGCACAAACAAGTGATAACGGCAGTTCCGTTACTCCTTTCTCTCCCAAGCTAGCCTCCGTTCTCTTCTATCTCCCCACAGCTGTGCCCTTGGAAGATATGAGAAGAAACAGGATGGGCTGAGACACTATGGTCACTTCTCAGAGGCTCTTTGTCTTATGCCGTGTGACCAGGTTACTCAGAAGCAAAGAGAAATTGAAACAATACAGGTCTATCTGTTCCTCAAGTTTATCTCTATCTCGAATGGCAGGTTATCTCTGAGTCGCCCCATGTCCTTGACGATAGGCCCAGACCAGCTGCAGCGAGCAGAAAGAGAGAACCATCCTTTCTCAGAAGCACAGTATTGCAAGTTATGAAAATCTCTTTACCAATGTTAAGCATATAGTTGTTTACTGTCGATATATAGTAAACAGGGCAGGTAAATACATTCATTTTCCCCCTACACACTTTTGATAAAGATGAGGAAAAAATACTGTATAAAATAAGTAATACAAATACTGAGCTGTATTGTATGGACTGCCCTCTTCAATTCAAACCACAGGTTTTCAAAGGGGTTCATGTCCAGACACTGATTTTTGTTGATTTGTTGATTTTTGTGGTCAATTAACTATTTCTTTGTGGATTTTGATGTGTGCTTGGGGTTATTGTGTTGCTCGAAGATCCACTTGCGGCCAAGTTTCGACCAAGGTGTGCATGGCCAAAAAGCTATATTTTCATGTCATCCAACAAATGTAAACGTTTGGAGTTTGATCAACCGCATTGGCACTTGGATTGGAACCGGTTCTATGGTCAGATGACATGACAATATAACTCTTTGGCCATGCACAGCAGTGGTGGGTTTGGCGTAAAAATATAGAAAATGAAGCATATGCAGAAAAGTAACTCATACCTATTGTAAAATATGGTGGTGGATCTTTGATTATATTGGGCTATTTTGCTT